GAATAGTTTGAGGCCAGCAATATATGAAATCTAGGAACAGTGTTTTGCTGATGTCAGTCATCAAACCTTTTTATTTCCAAATCTGCTGTGTTTAAAACTATTGGCCTGTGGAGAGAGCCCACCTAAGACACACACACACCCCTCCACACAAGTTGCATGGCTGTATTCTTTGCAGAAGTCACCCATTCTTTCAGCTGGGTGGAGGACATCCAGTGGTCTTTACACACATACGCAGGAACATGTGCACATGTGCAGGATAAGCACAGATTGTTATCTTTGTGTGTGAGCACTAAGTACATCCTGCCTCTTGATGTTGCAGTAATACTGCAGAGTGACGTCATGTTAACTCTGCATTAGGGACCACGACAGGATTGATAACATAGTCTATTAGAAGGCTATTTCACACACACACACACACACACACCGTACACACACACACACACACACACACACACACACACACACACACACACACACACACAGACACACGTATGCACATCTAAGTAAGGACACTCATTGGCATAATGCATTCCCTAGCCCCTCACCCTAACCATCTAAACTTAATGCCTAACCCTAAAACCGAGTCTTAACCCCCAAACAGTCCATTAAAGGTGGGTCAGAAAGTGAGGACCGGCCAAAATGTCCTCACTTTGCCAAAACTTCCTCATTCTGTAGGATGTAGGCTCAAAATGGTCCCCACAAAGATATCTGTAAAAGAGCACACACACACACACACACACACACACACAGTTTTGTTCACACAAAAGGGAGAGTGAGGGTGTGTCCTCTCTAGTTACGAGAGTCTGTCTCTCTCTCCTTCCTGTCCGTCTCGTCCTCATGTCTTCAGCGTGTGTGATACATGTGGATGTATTTGGGTCTGTATTGTATACTCAGAAATGTTTTACTGTATGTAAATATAATAGAATGATATTATAGACAGTGTATTCTGTTACTGTAATTGATGCATATGCAGATGATGTAGGCGTATATGGGAAGACATATGTTGCCCAAACATCCTGTTGTCTTTTAGCAAATCACTGTCCCCTCACAGCTGATGTGTTCCAGAGGAAATGAGACCCACCCCAGACTTCAGATGTGAGCTGCTATGTTAACATTGCAATAAAAGCTGCTGGAGCCAGAGCTTGTGTGATGTAATGAAAGGTCAACATCCCGGTTCAAAAACAGGTGGAACTAAAATGGTGCTCAGTTGAGCACATACCGTGGCCCAATCGTCCCCATGAATAAAAATTAAGCTGCACCACATTTCACAGATTCATAGATATCATAATATAATAATTTTTTTCATCAAGAGAATATTAATACACGCCCTGTAACAATGTAAGAGAAAGTAATAGGAAAAAAAATCTGATCCGGAACCACACCTAAATTTAACATGTTCTTCTCTGACCCATAGCATATCCTTCCACCAAGTTTCATGGTAATCCGCCCTGTAGTTTTTGAGGAACCATGTTTCCAAGCAAAAGGACGGGGTGAAAACTTAACAACCATCATGGAGGTAATGACTGTTTAACCAAGCTTCATCTCTGGCCATGTTTTTTCTGGACTTAGTGTAAAATGGATTGTGCCTGCACGTAGTTGGTTGTCTATTTGTATCTATGAATGTGTGTGTGAGTCTATTTTAGTATATAAGAATAGTGCAGAGGTTCTGGCATCAACAGTATGTTCTTGGTATTGTGTTTATTTATTCACAAAGACAAAGAGAGGAAAATAGACTGTTCACTGTGTGTGTATTTGTCTGCCTATGAGTGTGTGTGTGTGTGTCCGTGCATGTGTGTGTGTGTGTGTGTGTGTACATGAGCATCATGCTTGTAACTTATACAATGATGCTTTAATGTTTGACTTGTAATGAATTGTATTTGAGACCACAGGTCCCCTTCAGTGAGACACGTGAAAACGGATAATGAACTACAAATGTCTGGAAGTTTCTTATAAGGAGTTTTTTTATTTATTTATTGGCAAAAGTCATTGCTGATCTACAGGTTCACTCAGTCCTCGCACTATCAAACAGTAATCCTTGCATATTCTGTGACGTTCAGCACTGTAATCAGGACATCTGCACAGTGAATATACAAACACTTCAACTTGCAGCCCTTAAAAAGTGTTTAGAACCGAAAGCAAATCACAGATTTCTAAGTTTATAATGGCATTGTTCCAAAATTTCACCCCAACAATGCTCACACTTCACTCACGCTGTTCAGGTGTAGCTGAAACAACTGAATCACTCTCATTGTCCACTACATCACTGTTTACCATGGTCTAGTCTTTTAAGTGCATTCATATTTTACTCTGAATCATGTCAAAATGATTCGGTCCAGACTAGACTCCACAGTGAAGAAGCGCAACTGCTGCTAACAAGCAGCTTTGACTGCTGCTGTGACTGGAACACACAAGATCGTCTATCATATCTGAGACCTTCATGATCCATACACTGTACATGTTTCATTTACCAGCTTGTTGTTATTATTTGCAGTTGAAGAATATAACTCTGCCAACTAACCAGTTATGTAATTTTGAAAACATAGACTTAATATAAAGAATAAAATGGGGAGGCCCAGTGGCAGATCTAAATCTGGGGCCATAAAGGGGCAATAATTTCCACAGAGAGGCCAAATATTTGTCCAACATCCAAGAACAATTCCTGATTCAGTTAAGAGCACAGTTAAGTCATTACTAGTTTACCATTTCCTCTATAACTTTGAGTGAAGCCACACAACTCTGAATATATTTTAAAAATTGTTCCCTGTTCAAGCACATTGTGTTCTTCAAAAAAGTTTAGATTGATTATATTCATTATTAGTAAGGGACTATTTATTTTAAGCACTGTTTCACCACTTCCATGACATCAAAAACTTTGTTTTTCTTGTTGTTGTTTTGTGATGGACAGCAGCATCAGTGAAAACAAGGGTTTTTATATTTAAAAGACTTAAGAAGAGAAAGGCACAGCTCAAACAAATGTGATAGAAGCAGTGTGCGCCCACCCTTGTTAATGGCCCTTGTTAACAGCCCTCATTTTGAGCACACTCCATTCTAATGAGCCATAATAGCACCTCCTGATAATCAACCTGATAGGCGCCCCCTTCGGGCTCCCTACCCTTTGATTGGCCGGCTGGACGATGGTGTGGATGCACTGATAGACTATCAAGAGGGAGGTGGGAGGTGCAGGCTGGCTTTGGTCCAATAGAAGTTATAGGACCCAGGTGGGCGCTGATACCAAAAGTTGTGTCCCCACTTAGCAATTTGATTTCTGTGTCAGTGCTAGATCTGTCAGTTATAAGACAAAGTTGTTAAGGAACTAATGCATAAATGTCTATGTAATGTCATCTGATTTGATTTTGCGGTAGCTCCTTTTCAGCAGACATTTTGACTGGTCTTGATCAAAGACTGTAAATACAGATGGATGACATGTCTCCACTTCCTCTCATCCAGAAGTGAAGCCAAAATATCCTGGATATTAATGCAGCCTTGTGCATTTGGAGAGTCTGTGCAGCAGTGATCGGGTGGTGGGTGGAGCCAGTGTGGCAAGGTCTTGTCGATACCAATAGTGAGTATGTTGCAGCTGTCAATCAAGGCATTTCTCCCCAGTTTTTGGCCTCAAATAACTAATTAAACCCAAACAACATACATCATTGTGAGAAGAACTACCTAAAATGACAGATACCATCTTTAAGTAAATTACATTTGACATGTATTTTTCAGTTCCATGTCCCATCCACGAACATGGGAGAGGAAGGGACATAACATAGTGTCACACTCAATGATGGTGGTGTGACTCTGAGTGATCACGTACACAACCGGGACCCTGCAGCAGCATCACCTATTGTGACATTTAAAAGGAACTCCAACATTGGTACTGGTCGGAGTCATTTTCAGGTTATCAGTAATTTTACAATAGTCTTCTGTAAACAATTGGATTTTATCACCTTATCATGCCAGTTTAAGACCATTCTGTGTAAACATCACTGACTTTAAAGAAAGTTTAACTTTCATTCAACTTTAATTTTGATTCTGCTTGACTTGTGTTGGACCTCCATGGTTAATGCTTTTACAATCTTGGAGCATTGGTTGTTTTTTCCAAATCATTGTTTTTGTGATAAAGAACTTTTCACTGAGAGTTGTTGAGATCATCGCCCCACACAGGATGCATGTTTTAAGCAAACATGAATGTGGCAGCACAGTGACTTTGCCAGAGCATGTGAACCAAGAAAAATGTGACCCCTTGTCAAATGAGGGGCGGAAAAACTGATGAGATGTATCTTTTTCTTCATCTCTTTTTCCACTGGGAGCAGCTTTCTTTCCCCTGCTTTCATCCGGTAGCGGAGACCGAGAGACAGGGAACAGGGTGAGGAGAGGGAAGAGAGAGAGGTAGACAGCAGGGGTGGGGGGTGAGGAAGGGGGAGAAAGACAAAGGACAGATTGGGACAGGAGTGAGCAAATAGAGAACTTCTTAAAGAGTGGGAGGGGGATGGACGTCACTATTGACTATTACTGACAGTAACTCTCTTGGGGTTGGGGTTTCTCTCTCTCTTACTCTCTCTCTGTCTCTCTTCCCCCTACTTCCTCTCATCTCAGTCGTGATCCTATATAACCTCTGACACGGACCCTCTCAGTATCTTAGTCATCATCGGTGGTGTGGTGACAGCAGGTGTCTGCATGTCAGCATGATCCTGAGCTAAAGATATTTGGAGGTTCTTTGCTGTGTGGTAGATTTTTTGTAAGGTTTGAAAAAAACAAAAAAGATAACTTTATCATTCTATCCAGTTGTGAACTGATTGGAAAACCAAAACATCCAGAGTCAACAGCACAAAACCGCAGATTTTTTGATTTGAAGTCTGGTAACTTGCAGTCAGGTGAATATGACGAACCAATCAGCTCTCTTGTGTCTGGCCTCACTGCTGCTCCTGCTGCTGTTGTATGGCACAGGTAAGATCTTTTGTCATTATTGGGATTTACACAGTTGTAATAATGTGTTTTGATATATACTGGATGGCTGCATTATTTTACTGTGAGGTAAAAGAACGTTTATTTAAGTGTAAGCAGGAAATAACTCAGGAAATAACCAATATGACTGTTTTTGTCCAAAATCTCAAGTATCCATGTCTGTATAAACAATGACATTTTTGTTAAAGTAAGCATAGAAAACGATCTCGTAAACAGTTGAAAGTTTGCTGTTTTCATTGTTGAAAGGATGGTCAAGTTTTAAAATGCAATAACAGCACAACAGGTAAGGAATAAGGGAGCAAAAGACTTTACAAAACATGTGTAATTTCCAAGTTTTAGCTGAAAACACTGTTGTTTTATATTAGAAAAATTGTTTACTTTGATTCTTTGGAGAGAACAGTAGAACATTAGTATGAAATAAAGCCCAATATCACAGACCCAAATTTGTATTTTCATATTATTTAATAAACAAGAATAACTTTTAAATCATTCTCAAATTCTATCACAGGTGGGATTCTCTGTACTTGTGTAATATGCTGAAGCAGCAGATGGAAAACACAAATTAAATTCCTCTCGTTCTCTAGATGCAAAGATGATCATTGTTAACACCAAGCAAGATGTGCTCGTGGGAGAAGAGATATTACTATTGTGCAAAGGTGAGTCACTGCTCTATCATTTGTTTCATTTGTCTATGTGGCTAAACTTGAACCCAATCTCCACGTCTACTTTCTCCCCTTCCCTCCTGTGATATAGCTGGAGGAGAGGGGGAAATAACGTGGCAGAAGGATGGGGAAGACATTGATGAAGAAAAGGTGACAGTGTTGGATGAGACCTCCTCTAAGCTGCTCATTAAGAAGGCTACGATACAGAATGCCGGCACATACACTTGTGTGTGCAATTTCGAAACAGGACACCAGGACGAGGTCCAACGACAGCTGTATGTTTATGGTATGTAACAGCTGGCTTCACACACACACACACACACACACACACACACTGTAGTGAAAGAGATTTTCTATATAGTCGGAAGTTGAGCATTTGAACAGTTGTCTAATGAACCAAACCCCACCCTCAGTTGCTTTATGCATAGAAAGTATTGGCACCCTAATCTTCTCTTCCCTTGTCAGAGGGTCCATCATTTGGGGGCACCAAGACCTACCATGAGTTTCTGGAGGGCACAGACGGGGTGGTGCCATGCCTGGGGACTGGCCAGCCAGCAGTGGACATTCAGTGGCTTCAGGGCAGTCGGCAAATCCCTACTAGAGGTAAAACTAACACCTCTCTGCAGGATATGACAGTTATTCCATAGTTTCAAAAAGCTTTTTGTAAACATGCATGGGTCTGTAAAACTAAACAGTTTGCCTCCCCATCCTATTCGGCAACGTTGGTGCTTGACTGATTGTCTGAGTGCTGAGCTGCTGAATATAAATTGCAGATAATAAACTAGATACAAAGTTTCTGCTGATCTTAACCTCATTTAGTTTGTCCAGCATGGACACAGCCAAAGTTATAAGTAAATGTGAAGGATCAGTTTAGTGTGTAGCTGCAGTGGTCGACCAGATCCTTCATTCTCAAACAGTACAAGTAAGAAGTAAAGTAAAACTTCCTTATATACCTGAATAGTATATTTGTAAAGATTGAAAAACAAGATCAATATTTTGCATTAATAATGAATAAAATAACTTTTATAATGATGAACCAGATGCTGCCAAAGCATCAAGTACTTTGTGAATTCTCATTTTGAGTATGTTTTGTATTTTATGTTTTTTTACTTATGATATTTACATTGTATGGTTTTACAAGAAGCTATGGGCCCATGTGTGAGAGTTTAGAAGAAGAGGGTGAACATTTGCTGGTGAATTAGAAAAATACTGTGGCAGTTTTCCCAAAACACCTTAGTGCAGTGACAATACTATCTCAGTGTTGAGAGCAGAGCTTGCATTACCGCCAAGTGGCTAAATAAATCAATTAACGCAGGGTTTGGTGTCCAAGTTGAATATTGATTCACGTTGAATGCAAATTTTAGATATACATTTTTAAGGTCACGTAGTTTATAGACCCTGGACCCTTGCTGTTTTCCATGATAAAGTCTTATTTTGACACCTTTCAGATATATGCTTCATGCTTTACAAGCTCACTGAATGGTTTGGACGGTCACAGAGATCAGTTTTTGAGCTTCATTGATGGTCTCTGCATTTCTGTGCTGCTGTCTCTATTGTCAGAAGGAGAACGTCTGCGTCAACTTCCTGATAACACCCTCCACATTGAAAAAGTGAGGAGAGATGATGCTGGGACGTACGTGTGTCAGGCGCAGATCAGAGGACGGCCCGTTTTTCAGAAGCTCTCTGTCTCTGTTGTTGTGAATGGTGCGTTGCTTTTTAAATAGTGTACTTATCTAGAGATTTCTCTGTAGTTAGGAGCAAGTGTTGTCTTTCTGTTGTTTGTTTATATATGTTATATACTATATACTGTATATAGTCATCCATGATACCAACATCTTTTCTGGTTCTTGCTAAATCTGCTGTGTGTAACATAACACTTGATGGCACTCAACCATTTAGTGTTAATGGACAGATTGGCATCAGTGGTTGGGCATTTGTCTTGACAAATGTTTTATTTAACATGTAATGTTATGTTCTATATTATAAAAATGCTTGTATGCATTTGTTTTACACAACCTGCACATAATATTGGTTAAAATAAAATCCCCCCTGCAGCTCCTCCTAAAGTGCTTCTGAAAGAGGAAGTGAAGAAAGTAATGGCCGGATCTGAAACCAACGTGTCCTTGCTTTGTTTGGTGGCCGGTCACCCGAAACCCAATATCACCTGGACCATGTAAGACCTGGCTCCATCTGTCACATTGGTTATAAAATGTGGACACAGTAGCAGAGCTAAACCTTTTCACTCTCTCAGCCTCTTTTAAATCATGCCTAAAAATTTGGCATTGTTATTTTTTTCCTTTATTCCAGTTTTGCTAAGATGTTTTTCCTAAATATTCAATCATTGGTGTTTCAGTTGTTTAATTCAGTGCCCCTGAATCTCTTTATCGCCAATGTAGCAGTAACATCTTGTCTGAAGCTGCTGAGTCTGAATCTGTTTATTTAATGTTCTGTAGCATAACTCATCTTCTTTTCCAACTTTTCCTCTGTCTCTATACTTGGCTTCTTTCTTTCTCTTATTCACCTTCATACAGTTGTGCCTGTCTCAAATTTTTAATTCAAATGAATAAAGAATCACTACAATGTCACATAGCTTGTTCTTTGATCATCTTATCCCATTCCCAGGCCAGTGACATTAGACCCTTCTCGTCATCAGTTCAACTCAGACCAAAGCCAGTTGACTATATTGGCTGTTGCCAGAGCTGACTATGGGGAGTACATCTGCACTGCAGTCAACAAGATAGCAGAGGACAGTGCTACCATCATGCTTCATGTTTTCGGTTGGTTCAGTGCTACCACTGTGACTAGTTGTACTATAGTGACCCTTGAAAATGTGCTGCTGAGCATCTCTGGTTCATTGCTCAATTGAAATGTTTCATTTCAGAGGCCCCAGAGGTGTTTGTGTCAGCAGAGCAGCAGAGCGTGTTAGTGGGTAAACGTGTGTCTGTGTCCTGTAACGTCTCTGGACATCCTCATCCTGACCTACACTGGCTCAACAAGCACAATGGACAAACACTGGTAAAAGTGCATGGACATGAACACACATGGGCACGACAACTTAAATTCATAGATATAATCTACTTTGGAATTTACATGATTATGACTGCTTTTCATGGCTCAATGAACAACACAGTCAACTCCTAAATTCACTGTGAAGATCATCAACATTTAGTGTTTGTATTGCAGCTGAACTTATTAACATTTGACAATATTTCTAATATGTAATTTCCTTGTTTTCTTCATCCTCTGTCAGGACATGACTTCTGGTCGTATCCATGTGATGGACGGTGTGTTGGTGATAGATGACATGATGCCCTCTGATGGTGGGCTGTATTCTTGCATGGCTGTCAGCAGCTCTGGAAATGCATCTAGAGATGTTGTAATATACAGTAAGAGTTTGACTTTGTATATTTAATTTAAGAAAAGGGAGTTAAGTGAAAGAAAGGTGGCTATAAACCATGTTGAACTGTATGTTTTTATGCCATTTTCTAACTTTTTCTTCTTCCTTCCTCAATCCTCCTCTCCTCCCCCTCACCCACAGCCCAGCCCGGTCCCCCTCACTACCTGTCAGTCTCGCCTGGCCCGACATCAGTCCTCTTCTCCCTCAAGACCCCACCCATCAGTGGAGGACAGCCAATCACAAGTTATACCTTGCAGTGGAGGCAAAGCTCAGCAGAGCAGTGGAACAATGTCACAGTACCAGCTTCAGGTAGAACATTTGCTCTTTATAAAGACTTTGCAGTTGTGTGTGTGTAGTGATTTTCACTGAAGATTAAAAAAAATATATAATTATTTTAAGTATCGTTTATGACAAGGCTTTTTATGTTTGATTCCTTCTGTAGCTCCCCTAGCTATCACCACCCTCAAGCCTTATACATTGTACGAAGTGCGTTTAGCTGCCTTGAATGCAGCAGGACTAGGACAGTTCTCTAACCTAAACAGCGTTCGAACCCAGGGAATACGTAAGTGTGACATATATTTTTCCACACACTGGCAGCAAACACTGACAACTCATGTCAAATTCACTTTTTATGCAATATGTATGGTGCATATGTGCATATGCCAGAGCTTATGTGGTATAAATATCTCACAAGCAAGGTTTTTCCTCCTCATCTGCTATCACTTAATTTTTCTTCTTTGTCTCTCATGCAATCATCATAACATTTTCATGACATCATCATCTGCTGCCTGATGTTTACTCATACTGTTGGTGACATCATGTGATCTACTGTCATTCATCCTCAGGAGGTAAAGCGCTTTCAGGGGTTTACTAAACTATGAAATAATTAACTGTACTCAGCTTAGATTAATTACAGTAACTTAATGATGAATTGTGGTCATTCATTTTTTTCTCTCTCTACCTCCTGCCTGTAGGGGAACCTGACAGTCCAGTTTTGACGCCCGATGAGATTAAAGTGAAGGGCAACACCTTCTCTACCCCATTGACGCAGACTGACGATGGCGGACTGCCTCTGCAGCACTTCATCATTCGGTACAAACAGGTAAAAGACTCTCAATCTCTTTCTCTTCTTTGCTCCTTTTTGATTCCCGACTGTGATCCTCCCTCTCCTCCTCTGTTTCTAACCAGGATAAAGAAGGGGCTGAGTGGAAAGAGCTGCAGCTGCCGTCCAATGCTGACACCATTTCACTTAAGGACCTGTCTTTTGGCTCAGACTATCGACTGCAGGTCACAGCAGTCAATGCTAATGGTTCCTCTATCCCTGCAACATTGAAATTCACCATCGCAGAAAAACCTTGTATGTGACAACTTACATACTCCACCACTCTCAGCATTTCTAGTTTACCTCAATCAACTGAGAATGTTAATATACTGTATATCGTTGGCAATACGTCAACAATGTGCCGTGAAATACCCATCAATTACAAAAACAAATGCATTGCACACCACACTGAAGATGTCTGCCATACGCTCATCTAAACATTATGATCTCTCTTCAAAGCGAGTAGCCTTACCATGACCAAAGGCAGCGTGGTTGGCATCGTCATGGTGATCTTCTTTGTGGTGTTCCTGGTGGTAGACGCAACCTGCTGCTACAGAAACCGCTGCGGCCTCCTCATGTCCATCGCTGTGAAACTCTTTGGACAGAAAGTTCCAGGCCTCAAAATGCTAGAGGAGGAATCGGGGAGCACTAACGGGTGAGTTGGTGAGAGGATTTAGGAAAAGTCTTTGAGGGACTGTGTGTTTAAGAAATGCTCTAACATGTTGTGTGTCCTGGCTGCAGAGATGTGAAGCTGAAAGGCTTATCCACTCCGAGAGGCAGTATGCAACAGGTGGGGGTTCAGGCAAACACCAAAGAGGGGGGGCAGCTTACAGAGGTCACCTGCGACAAAGCCCCCCTCACTAAACATGAGTATGTTCATTCACTGTCTTGCAGCACACAATGAAACAACATGGACAGAAAGTGCTAGAATAATAAACATTAGACTAAAATATCACATTACCAAGGAAATGCACAATAGAACAGAAAAGGGCCTTAATGGTAAAATGACGGTATTTATATAGAGCTTTTCCACACTTATCAATAACTCAAAGTTATTTACAATACAAATCACATTCATCCATTTATACACACATTCATACAGAGAATCTATGTACAGCACTGTTTTTATCACACACTGTCATCACAGCTGTCAGGGGCAAATTTTGGGTTCAGTATCTTAGCAAGGAACTGTGGATAGGAGGAGCTGGGTTTTAAACCACCGACCCTCTGGTTAGTGGACAATCCGCTCTACCTCCTGAGCTAAAGCTGCTTTACTGAAATTACATACCAAAACTTTAACCATCCTCACCTTCAATCATTCAACATACATACAAAATAAATCTAAAATATAGCACAGTATATTACTTTGTGTTTCAGATTTGATGCAGGCTTGTCTTTGCATCACAAGTAATATAAGCATTATTCCTTGTATAGACACTTATCCATTAAAAAGGAATGTGCATCATCCAACCATAATGCAAAGTCACAGCCTCCCTGTGTGGAATCCAATCTAAGAGCAAAATACTACTTTTAACACCTGCCACAGAGCTAAGGAATATTATCCTGTCTTGTGGCATTGCTTCATTCAGACACTCACATGGAGGTCAAATCCATGGCAGAAAGTCATTTTCTAAAGTCTATTTTGAATTGAGATCTCCTTGACTTCCTTTTCATGAAAATTGTATTGTTTTGTCCTCATATTTTACTGATGGAATATTTCTGTCCTGCAGGAAAACACATCCAGATAGAAACCAGTCCGCTGCTGACGCTTGAGGCGAGCAAGTGGTGAAACAAGGGACATGAGTGTGAAATATTTTACAGCCATGAAACAATCAACCAGAACACTAAGTCATCTCTGCATTGGATGCAAATGCCATGGGAAAGGTCAAACGTCCTGATCACACAAAGAGGAAAACCGGTCTTTTACAAAACTCTGATTGTCCTGTCAACACCGCCTCCTGCAGGCTACGCTCCTCCACAGGCAGGAGACGTTACAATTGGAAGTTTATTTTAGTTTTTCTGTCTGCTCTGATTAGTTCAAGCTAAACTTAGAGGACAAAAACAGATTTTGAGATCTGTCTTTTACAGGGTAAATGCTTTATATTCTAAAAAAAACACAAAAATGTTTACTTACTGCATTTGTAATGTTGTACACAGACACAAGGTCTTCTTTCATTTTTACTCTTTCTTTAACCATAAGTGTTTTGTGCAAAACCACTTTTTTAAAATCTCAAAATTATTTTTGTTACTGATCACATTTCAGATGTTTTTATTGTTATTAACATACCATTATGTTATCTAATGTTTAAGATGATTTAATAATGTATTCTCATTTTGACCAGTATTATAAAACATTTAAAGGGCCCTTCAGGTTGAACTAAAACTAACTAGCCTTAATGTAATTATTATGCACTGATATTTATTAGTTTTAAGCCATGCATGAGAGATATTACAACGACAGGCTTCGGATTTGAAGTTGTTTTTGTAGATATAGTTTTACTGTTGAGAAATACTTTTTATCATGGTGAGCAACTAACACTGTAGACCTGTAATCAAAACCACCTTTTATTATGGAAAAACATTTTAAAGTACCTGTAATAATAGGCAAACAAAGTGGACTTATATTTCATGTTTACATCTATAGTTATACTATTAGTTACAGTAATCAAACATGAAAATAAATGAAAATATTTCAAGTCAAATATTTTATTCAGCTTCAGCTTTTTTTGCTTTTTATCACCTGACCATATCAACAAAGAGTTTCTTATTTGTATTGTATTGTCTTGAACACTGTACATGGTTGTATATACATCTTTTTGTTTGATAAAACATGCACTGTATGTAAAACAGCTTTATCCTGCTTTTTTATAAGCATCTCCATCATACACAGTGAAATCATTATGACAGAACAAAAATGGTTTGGTCTTTTTATAGCTATATACCTTTTCAATATAATAATTCCACCAGTGAGACTGGGTTTCTTCTGTCTGTTTTTTTCAAAAAGTACCAAACAGATTTCCATTAAATCGAAGGACTGAGGCTTGACCAGAGGGAGAGACCAATTCATTTTGGAGGTCATTAGATAAACAGATAATCCAGAAAAGTTTTATCTTTTTATAACATGCCGAGTTAGGGCATAAGCCTTGGCTGAGGATATGCCCCTCTAGTTACTTTTAGTATCAATTCAGAGAGCCATGGAAAGACGAAACTTGTTTCTTGAAAAATATTTATCTTTTGTCTTGCTGACACAAAGCAACCCAGCCCTGAATATCACACAGACAGTGTAACTGCACTTCTTCCTTTAGGTGACTTGATACAGAAACTAATTTCCCTCATTTGTTTCCGAAGTTGCAAACTTTCAACCCATCAAAACAAGTTCTCGAAAGAGATAGAGGACTTTTAATTACACTTACTGTAACCATCCATTCATAGATTGAGTGCAGATAACACTTCACTGAACATCGTGTTCAAGAAAGACAAAACTATAACTCTCCTTTTCTTCCTGGTGTCACGAATGCTGTCCTGTTACTGCAACACTTAATGTTTGACAACATTAAGAAGTCTAGACAAAACTGGATTTGTGATTTAAAGCTATACAGGATTAGCACCAGCAAGAAGAATTATGACCAAACAATCAGCTCTCACAGTGATACAATGGTCTTGGTACTGCAGCTGCTGGTGTATAGAAGATGCAAGGTACACTCATCTTTAAGATTTTAGCAGACAGTGTTGTAATTACATGTTCTGATATACACCACAATTTTGGAATACTGAGCAGATCAGTCCTGGAACAATGTTGGTCTGTGAGCAACGACTTTCCTCAAGAAATAACAGACATTGAACTCCTTTTTGTTTCCATGTCTAAGTGCACTGGTTTCAGTTGTTTTTTTTTTCCTTTTTCCAGAACAAAAGAACAGCAGTAAATCCACAAGCCATGTGATTTAGTTGGCAACATCAGGCAAAGAAAACAACGAGCAAAAACATTAGAAGAATCTGACCATCATGATTCCTTCATTGTGTGGTTATTTGCTGATCGTTAATTGCTCCTGTTTTCTGATCTCTCTTGAATAAGATCATAAAAGCAATAAAAAGTACACTCTTTCATTGAGTACTTTAAGCAGGCCTATATCTAACTCCTTTAGATATAGATATTTAAAGCAGCCCTTTGCCTGGGATGGTTAGTGTTTCATATTCTGGTACTTCTACTTTAATGAAGGGATCACACTTCTTTCACCAGATTGAAACCTGAATAACAGTGTGACTTCGACACAGACATATTGATGTGTTGATGTGTCACAGGGACAGTGGAGCTCGCAGCTCTATGGCTCTCAGTGCTGTGCAGCTCCCTCGGCTCCGCCCCCTGCTTGATACGTTCCTGCTGACTAGCAGCACATGACCAGGCGTGTTTACACCTGCAGCAGCCCAACACACACACACACACACACACACACTCACACACACACACGGCTCCAGCTCTGACAGGGAAACCTGCAGTGTAAGGTGAGAGAAGAAGCAGCCTTGTCCTGCACGCTTGTTGTTTAAAGGGGGGTGTTGTTTAGCATGTCTCTTAGCTTGTCAGTGTGTGATATGAGGGCGCGAGCGGCGCTCTTCCTTAGCAGCAGCGGCTAGGTTAGCATGCTAATGTGACTGTCAGGTTAGCTCACTCAGGAGCATCACCGCCACCCGAGCGGCAGGTTAAAGGTGAATGATGACAATAACACCAGCGTCAAACAGACATGAAGCTGAGGGGGTTTCATTAGCTCACTCCAGGGTGTGTTTATGTCTAATGTCATCGTGTTTAGCCTCATTAACGTCAAACTGCACTGGAGAGTCAGCTGCTTGTCAATTCTGCTGTGAAGAAGTGGCTTCAGCGTTAAAGGCTGCTGACAGATCTGATAGAAAAATCCGATGATCTGAAGAGACAAGGAGAGCTTTTGATCGAGGACCATCTGTCTCATATTGTCTTGTTTAGTGAAGCTGTCACAGAGGTCAGCTGTAATGAAAGCCACCCTGTCTGTCTTTGTGTCAGATATTTGATCAGGGGAGCCATTAGTCTGTTTGTTCCAGGTGCACACATACTTCCCCTGTGTAGCATCATTGCTCGTGGATTGTGATCATAAATACAGTTTCTTGTTTTGCTTTATGTACAAAGAGGTATTCACTAACTTGCCTAGTATGTCCACATGCCTACATCTGGTTTTAAGTGAAAATAAGAACATTGCAGTCTGTGGATAGCTTTGTTTACATATCATACTTTATTGTCTTAAGCCCCAGGTAGCCCCTGCCCATCTGATCCACAGGAAGAAAGCCCCATTCGCAGCCACAGGCTCCAGGGAGCCAACCCTCCTGCTGTCCACCATGGATGGGACGGATGTGGAACGTGAGCTCTTCTCTTCTTTTTGTTTTTATGTCTATCTCTCTATTTTGACCCCTTTCAGACCTGGTATTAACATCATCCTGAATGAGATCAGGTCTGAAGATCACAAGTCTGAACACACCCAAATGCGTCCTCAATGAGTCCTGAGATCCTGTAACTTAAACCATGTTAGGAGGTGGTCTCAGTTGCATGTGCCACATTTCTTTCACTGTATGAATGCTAAGATCTCAACTTGTGGTCACAACAGACATACTCCGGACACATTTTAATGTCAGGTGTGAACAGACGAACGTAGAGCTGACCACTTGTGATCACATCTCTCAGGACGGAGGGATGTTAATACCAGGTCTGAACATTGCCTTTGACACAGCACTGAAGGCTAAGCCATGTCAATTTTCCATAATTTATTTTGTATAGCCATTAGTGTTGACTCCCTTTCTCTCTACCTTTTAAGCTTCCTCTTCAGATATGTTTGTTCTGTTTTGTTTTCCCTCTAGAAGTGACCCTGGCTCTACTGGATGCAGCCAATGATAAAGACCCAGAGGTCCAGGAGCAGGTCAGAAAGTCTATGTTAACTCTGGGAAAACAGCAGCCAGACCGAGTGTTAGCCATGTGTCAGGACTACCTCCTGAAACATCCAAAGGTAAAACCCCAGAATACACCTCCAGTATGTTAAACACGCTACCAGAGTGTCAGCCACACATCAGAGCTGTATATTAAAACCTATCAGTGTAAGCTGTTGTTGCTGCTGTTATCAGTATTCTTACCACACGTTACCAAGGAGAATGCAAATAGCTTTCCTAGCCCTTGTCAGAAAGTTGGATAAGCATGACTGTATGTGCACACATATACAGCCATTAGTAGTGTTTCAAACCAAGCACAAAAAATGTCACAGTTACATGCAGTGATCATTTACTGTGGCTGCACCATGTGATCATTCTTAACACATTCAAAATGGAAGCTGCAGGGAAAGTCCTCCCCTGCTTTTCATTCCTGATGAGGGGAAAACATTGTATTTTTTTTTTTAGGTCCCCTCAAGATTTGGTCAGCAAACATTGAAAGCTGTATATATATGTGATGGAAATGTCCAGGCTTTATGAAAGATTTATTTTGACTCCAGTAACCCCAGCTAAGAATAGTCTACTGCTAATCTGTTAAAGCTAGTCACAATTAAAAGGCATCTTGGAGCCCTTAGCATCGGGTTTGACAGCCTGTTACAGCGTGTTAGTCAAGACTTTCCTGTGAGAGGTTTCACATATGTAAAGAACATTGCAGTTAGTCGTTGTATGTGTAAATGGTTCAGCTCTGGTGATTAACTCAGTGTTTCCCGCAGAAAATTTGTCTGTCAAGGTGGTGAGCGTGGCACTGTAGTTCCCACGACGACAACAGGCATGCTATCCGGTCGTCGGATTTAGCTTCTTTCCCGATAAAAAAGAAATGTTGGCCTTGCCACGCAGTTACAGCAGATGATAGATGGCTTAACATATTTAACCTACAGATGCCGCAATTCCGCCTCATTGCGATGCGGCCTTATTTTAACCTACTGTCTGCATGCGGGGATGCGGAATATTTATTTATTATCGGGGGGCCGTAGTCAAGGTGGGGGGCCGTTGTTCTCAAGGCGGCCGCCTTAACTATAATGCGCTGCGGGAAACCCTGTAACTACACTGGATCTGCCACAGAAATTTATATAACTTTTAAATTATTATACACTTTTGCAACCATTGTACCCTTCAAGTCTTGCAAAATGGACATCTCAGTTAGCATCTAACATCCCAATATTTTTCCTACAATGATTCATAGAATAGAATAAATCACTAATGTAAGTGGATGTTTAAAGAGAAGTCAACCTCTTACTTCAGATTTTTTTTATGCCTCTGTGCCGGTGAAAGCCAGTCCTTAGAGGCATTATGTTTGGGATTTTCATTCATTCATCTGTCAGTTCCCATTTTTGTGAGCACAATCTCAAGAATGCCTTGAGGGAATTTCTTCAAATTTGGTACAAGCCTTTTGTTGGACTCACAGATGAAACTGATTAGATTTTGGTTGTCAAAGGTCAAGGTCACAGTGACCTTATGCCCGTGAATGTTAAACATCAAGAACAACCATCTCGCACAAACATTCACTGGCACAAACGTAATGATAACTGCATATGAATGTGTTAAAGATGTATTTAGACTGAAACTGCACTGGTTGTTGGGGCGTACATCCGCAGGCCGGTAATTCTAGTTTTGTTTTTACTTTTAACACACTTCCTCTTTTTTCACAAGGATGTCTGACTTTGCTGGTGTTTATATTTATGATACTGTATCATCTTATCATGATGTCACACCCCCTGGACATGTGATTATCAGATGATAGCATCATTCAAGTGAGGAAATGTCTTAGAAAACATCAGTCACATGGCACATTAGATTCCCATGGTTTACTTGGATGGTGTTAAATGTAGTGAGTCATATTCTG